CCTAGGAACAAGAGGAATAGTCATCAGTGATTTGCTGCCCAAGTAGGAAGGGGGTGTTGAGGGGTAGTGTACAGGGGTACGTCCTGTTTCTGCTGATGCCTTGGGTGATGAGGGTAGAGGGAACTTCCTGAATTTGGGTGATGCCAAACTGGCAGGAGATGCTGTCACGTCCGTGTCGGAGGAGTATTATACTGGTAGTCTTAAACATGAGCGGTAATCTGAAGAAAACACAGTTCAGTGCAGAGAAATAAAAAGCTTTAGTCCAATGGTATTTATCTCGATGCATATGGGATGGGAATGACTGGCAAAGCATCTTCTGAAAAGGATTTTAGTGGAGGACAACCTGACTGAGCCCAAAAGGCATACAGCTGCACTGGAAAAAAAAAAAGGCACTTAATGGGCCCAGGACTGCCAGCTCTAAGACAAATGAGGAGCACCTGCTGTGTTCTCCGCACATTTGGCATTAGGAGGGGTTTTGTGTTTACTCTCTCTGGCCCTGTATTTTGAGAACAACATGAACTGTACTGAATTTAGAAGACATCAGGGAGAATGGCCATTTAAAAATTACTATAAAAACAATTCCAGGCTAAGCCTGTGGAGAGAGAGATCGAGATGACCAGCAGAAGACGACAGAAGGAGAAGAGAAAAATCAACCCTTGTAGCAGCTGGAGGGACTGCTAGACTCTTAGCCACCACTTGGTGAAGTGCTGGAATAGATGATAAAAATTCTAGGCTTTCTCTTGGCAATTGGAGACTTTTGAGAACAGCTTAGTTAAAGGTCTGTTAAAGTTTTGATGGAGTAGATCATATCTGGGGAAGAACGATTAGTTGAATAACTTTCTCTCCAGTTCACTTCCGTGATTATTGTGAATTCTGGAAACCAGTTCTTCCACTAAATCATAGTAATACATAGTTCTTCCATAGTAAAACCAGTTCTTCCGCTAAATCATAGTAATACATAGTTCTGTTTTTTACATATGAGACTTACCTTGTCCTCTCCTTGATTTTTCTGCTTAATTGATGCGGTTTTGCTAATGTTCCAGTTATATGTTGTGCATTTTGAACGTTTAATAAGCTGTGGTGATTCTCTTCCTTCAGACTGATGATGAAGAAGAGTCTTTCATTTTGGAGGATCCCTTTCTCTTGAATATTGATAACACGGATACACACTCCTACGACACATCTTCTGTAGCAAGCTCTGACAGTGGCGACCGGGCACACCTGAAAAGGTACTGCAGGACTGATAGCCTGGGAGGTTAAATGATTTTGAAGGAGCAGTGCTTATATCCATTAAAAATGAATTCTCCTTTTTGGAGTGGGTAGAAGGACGATCCAAAGCTAAGAACAGTTGAAACTTCCTAAGTCACCTCCTCTCTGAGCTTTGCTATGAGCACACAATTTGTCTGTTACCTGGGTAGGAACCCTTAATTGCACACGTGGATTTTGTCTCCTGCTGTTATATCCTAGTGCTGAAGTCCCAGGGGGATGCTGCAGGGACTCTGGTGAGGCTGCTTTTGACAGAACAGTGTTATTCCTGCAGGATCAAGTAGGCAAAGATGGGATTTGTTTTTGCACTGAGGGCTAGCCTGTTTGAGCAATAAATGCATTTTATGGGAGATGGAGCATTTAAATTTCTCTGAATTTTAATGGAATCTTTAAAACACTGAGCCGTGATGACTTTGAAGAAAATCTTTCAAAGGTGTCTGATGACTTCCAGAGTCTGCAAGCAGCTGGTGGTTATTTTTAAAAGGCAAGTGAATTGCTCTCACTCCTGTAAATGGAATGCTCATCTTGACATCTAAAAGCAGCCTGGAATGTGATAATTAGCTATAAAACTGCTGACTTGCCTCATTAATTACTCAAATGATGGCCTGATCCTACATCCTGAGCCACTCCCACGGCCTTCTTATGTGCTGTAAGAAGTTGTGATTGTTGCATGAGCAATTGCAGAGAATATAAATGCTCTTAAGTGTGATGGTTTATGGTGGCATATGGTGGCGTACTGATTCACTGTCCCTTCTTTTTTCAAATAAGATGGTTTGTATTGAGGTAAATGGTACCTGGAGTGGCTTAAACATTTTCCAGTACAGAGTCGGCAGAAAAACCTGGAAGTGTTATTGTCATCTTTGGGTGAAGCTAGTTGCTGTGTTTATGGGTCCTTAGCCATAATATAAGCTATTAACAACATGTTTCTTCAGCGTATGTGTGAGCTACTTATTTGTGCACCTCTGGAGAGAAAAGAACCAAATACTTCCCTGTCAGTTTTGGAAATTTGTCTTTCTGGTGGTTGTGTGCTTGGTAACAAAGCTGCAACTTTCTTGGGGATTTTCCCTCTACTGTGCACTACAGCGTACTAAGGCTCTTTAGAAATAACTGTCCCCTGTACACTAGTTACTTTTTAAAGACATTTTCTCCATAAACAGAAACACTTAACCTTTCATATCAGATCAGCTGTGTTTTAATTGAATGTTATTTTTTAAGCATACATCCAGTTTTCCTAGGGGTCTGTATTCTGCTAATGAGCCTTTTCCAATTGTGTATTTTCCTTAGATATTCACCTTTAAAGGCTGAAACTTCCTGACTCACTGGAGGATTAATTAAAGAGCAACAGTCTTGCTTTCAGGCTTTATTAATAAATTCTGAGGTTTGCAGATATGTGCTTGAAACTGACAATTTGTTTGAAGAACAATTTTTTTTTTTTGCAGGACATGAGTTAAAAACAAATTTTATGCAGGCACAGTGGTGCATAGCAGGCTTTGCTAATAATGTCATGAAACCATTCTGTGCATGTAGGCCCCAAGAATAAGAATGGAAACTGCATGAGTTACGAGTGTATGCAGAATTTACCTGTTGGTTTCGCTGTGGGTTAGGCAAAGTTCCAAACTTCTATTCTGCTCTAATGCATTTGGTTTATTTCTTATTTCCTTAGGAAGAAAAAACTCCCAGATTCTCTTTCACTCCATGGATCAGTTATACGGCTTTCGCTTCTGAAAGGAATTTCTGCCCAAATAGTATCTGCAGCAGTAAGTGTCTTTTTCTCCTGGTCGCATCCATTAAGAAAAATTTGAACCTATTCTGGTGTGGAAGACTGTGTGTGTGATCTCCTATCTCCCCCTACTATTAGTTCTGGATAATACTAACATGTTGGGTACGTAAACTACTAACTAGTAATCCCTAGCCAGTAGTGAATCAGGTATTAGCTGACTTATTGCAGCAGCAATATGGTAGGTCCCTTTTAACACTGATTTGTGTTGCTAGATGTCATTAACCTTGGTGGGAAATGTTAATATAAAATGGTAGTAGTGCTATTGTTCTCCTTGCACGAAGATGCTGGAAACAGGTTTGCTTAATGCCTGCAGCAGGCACAGAACACACTCATTGTTCTGAGCCGAGTGAGGAGCAGGTTTGCTCGTTCCTGCGTCTGTGACCGCACTTCATGCATGGGAGGAAGAGAGCTGGTCTGTAAATCGTACTGCCAGGGGAAAGCTGACTGTCCAAGATCAGAGCTAAGGTGGTGATTTATCGAGTGTATGATTTCTGAAGCACGCAAGGTGGGCTTGTTAGAATGCAAGTGACTCCTCTGTGAGTGTTGTGTGATGGCTGTGTGACCAGGGTCTCGGTGTTAGTGTGCTGCCCCTGGCTGTTACTTGCGTTGATGGAGGTGTGGGTGGGCCGCCTGAATGGGAAGCTAATAAGGTCTGCTGGAGAGGGAAGTAGTCTTGTAATTGATGTCTATGCCGTGTACACAGAGAATACTGAAAACTGTTAGTAAGATTAGACTGTTTTGAGAAGAACACAGTAGCTTTTGTATGGAATTACAGGATATTCTGTTTCCGCTCCATTTCTGTGCACTTTTTCATTCCTTCTGGGTGTTTCTAGCCAGTGGTTCCCTCAGCGCTGTCTGCCCTGGTGGGACTATTAAAATGCAACTTGTATTGATTTTTGTGCGTGTTGTAGTTCTAATTATTAGAGACATACACGGAGCCGAGAGTTCTGTCTCTCTTACTCATGACTTGTCCTGTTTTTCTAGGACAAAGTGGATGCTGGCTTGCCCACTGCAATTGTAAGTACTCTAACAATTTTCAAGTACTGTATAGTTAAGTTTTCATGCAAGGTTGTTAAAGCAGTAATTTAAGACAGCTGATAAATGCATCTTCCTTCTTAACCTTTCTAAGAATTTTCAAATATGAGGGGTGAGAGAAGCAGCATGAAAGATCTAGTTCCTGGGGGCAGAGTTCAGCCTTTCTTAACAGCACAGCTGCCCCTCTGCTGATCAAGCCCCACACTCTCCCCTTTTTCATGTCATCGCTAGGGCTTGTTAGTTGAGCACCTAACCTTTCCCGTAAGGTAAGTGTTCATCTGTTGAACACATTGAATCTCCCTAGCTATTTCTTCTTTGCCAGTTATTGGTTTGACTCCTAACAATTTTTTAAAGAAACTTAAACTGAAGTGCTCATAAAGTGATGGGTTCAAAATCTCTACGGCTCTGATGTAACTGAAATATGACCTTAAAATATAAAATTTCACTAAAAGCCTGTCTGAAAGATACTACTGCTTAGCAATTTGCGTTAAACTTCTTAAAGCAAGCATACTAATTAAAATATGTCAGAAGTGAAGCTGCCTATAGTTAAAGGAGAAGAGAAACATTTTAAGGAGGTGAAATACAGCAAGTATTTGTTCTGCCCTTGTGAAATGACTTTTAATGTTTTATGAAGAAACTAAAGATGTGCTTGGTCACTTTGACTGTAGTAGCAGCAATCCATAAGAAATTATACTTTTTGTTTAAAAAAGAAAAAGGAGAAAAACCATAGTCACATCTAAGGCAAAAGGTTGCACAGCAAAATTGGAAGCACACTGTGTCTGATGTGCACATAGGATAAAAACCTGTACTTACATACTCCAGGCATTAAAGCACTTAATTTTTTCAGTCTGACTTACACTTGCTAAGAAATAAAAAGTAGAACGTTAATGTATCTATAGCATTATGTGATTTCTATTAAGTTTTATTTAATTGGGTGCAGGCTTGCAAGTGCAATAGAATCTTGGAGCTATGTTTAATTCCCCATGGAAGGAAATTGGAGTCTCTGGGCGTGGTGTGGACTGTCTCTGCAGGGGACCAGCACTGCCCAGGGTTGTAGAAGAGTTCAGATGTGGATGTAGCAGCTGAGTGAGAAAAACCCTCTGAGTATTTATACTCAGCTACCACACCAAAAGAATGAGGCTGACTTTACAGAGAAGGAATTTCACTGTGGGTACCACTCTGAGCATTTGAATTTCAAACAGCAGAGGAAAAGGCAGCCCTCTGAACTTGATCTGTGGGATGGTCGTTCAGGTGTAATACTTCTCTAGCTTTCATGTAGGAATTGCTTGTCACTTATAAATTAGAAAATGGTTATATCTATAACCTTCTAAATCTTCCCCTTTTGGCAAACTTTGCATGAGTGTAGTGAGGGTTTAAGTGGTGGGTTTGTGACTGACATTTCTTCTACTTTCAATCTTTCTGCATGACTATTTCAGGCAGCATCAAATCTGATAGCAGTGGGGACTTCCCATGGATTAGCACTGATATTTGGTAAGTTAAAAATAAAGTTTTGAGTTTTTTGCAGTTTAATGATCTTAAAAAAAACCCAGACAAACACAAGCAAAAAAACCCAGCCTGAATTAGAACTGCAGGGTGGATTTCTCCTAATATGTTCTGTTTGTGCTAAATGTGATTTTCTTTCAGTAAAGAAATAAAGCACAAGTAATATTTTAGTTGTCCTTATTCACATATTTCTTCTGCTTTGGGGGGGTTGGCACATTGATACTGAGAAATTTAGCTCTGTGGCAATTGTCTAAAGAGCCTTTTCTATGTTTAAATATAAATTACTCTGTTTTCATGTGGAAGAAACCAGAACCAGTATACCACCATCATCTCATACAGTATTAATCTTCTTCTCCCCTATGACATAATAGCTGCCAGCATTAGGGAAATTAAAATGTGTTCCTTGGGAACTGGAATGTTTCTGACCCATGGCTACCTGCAGGCTTGCATCATAGGTTTCTCCTTCCCTGACCTTTCCCTGCACCAGTCACCTCTGTGTCCCTTCATTCTGTTATTCTTTCCTTCCTCTTATCACCAAACTCTCTTAAAAAAGTTTCTGAGCTTGTCCCTCTGTTTATCCAGCTGGGCGAGAGCAGCTCGAATTGGTCCCATACACATCGAGTTCTTGCGCCTTTTGTCTATGCAGCACCAAATTCTTAACAATTCTAGAAATTTCATTATCTTCTTGTCTTTTGAAGTTTGCTGAAATTATTCAAGAGACCAAAAGTTACGGGGGACAGGGTTACAACAGAAGGACGGGAAAGACTGTGACAGTGTAAGACTCACTTTCCTGGGTATTTAGACATTAAACTATTTGATGCCATTTTCTTAATCCAGGATTGAAACAATTACAGGATGTGCTTAATTGGAATATAAATATCTTCGTCCCTGCTACAGTCAACACAAGATCTTACTGAGTTTTTAGTAGTAGATCTTTGTGGTTTTTCTAAAATTTGTCTAGTATGTGAAGATCTCCAATACCACTCCTATGGAACACAGTTTTACTCTGATTTTCTTGTTGCTCTCTCTATATGCACACAATATGAAGTTAGTAAGCCTTTAAACAAGAAGCTGTTCTCTGCAGGTGTCATAATAGAGAGAGATTATTTTCAGCATTTTACACTCCAGAAGGGGCTCTAGGACTCTATATAAGCATGCAAAGAGGTCATTCTTACCTTTGTCGAAATTATTTCTGCATCAAGTCCTGTTTAAGAGGATGGACCACTGAATGCCTGAATGTCCAAGATGCTCTGGTATTTCAACTGATGTGTTTTGTAAGATTTGTTTGTTTTGCTCAATGCAAGTGTGTTTAAGCAAAGGTCTCTTTGTTACACCCTTGATTGCTTTGGACCAACATGTTTACTGTTACTTTGGCCACTATCTTTGCAAGGCTGTGTAGTCTGTAGTTATTCAGTTCATTCTGTAGCCTTTAGGAAACTTGGCACAATACCAGCTTTCCGCCAATTGGCTTTTATTAAAATAAATGTCAGTGCTTTGAAGAACTTCTCTGCGTACTTGCAACAGGGCCTTTCAAACTTTCTGATCTATTGAAACATATGAAGTTATTGTTATTACAGCCACGTATTATCACAAGTGAATGAAAATTATTACCCCCCTCTGTTCTGCACTTGTGAGATCACATCTGAAGTACTGTGTCCAGTTTTGGGCTGCTCAGTAGAAGACAGACATCGATGTACTGCAGTGAGCCCAGTGGAGGGGGGTCACCGAGATGATTACAGGGCTGAAGCACATAATGCATGAGGAGAGGCTGAGAGAACTGGGTTTCTTCTGCATGGAGAGGAGGTGGCTAAGGGGACATCATGTTGCTATCTTCTACCACCTAATGGAAAGGTATAGAGAAGAGAGACTCAGACCCTTCTCAAAGGTCCATGGCGTTAGATAAGAGGCAGTGGACCCGAGTTGCAACATGGGAGGCTCTGATTAAATTTTTCACCGTGAGGGTGCTGAAGCATTAGATAAGGATTGAGAGAGGTTGTGGAATCTCCGTCCTTGGGGATATTCAAAACTCAGCAAGGCCCTGAGCAAGCTGATCTTGTTGACTTTGCTTGGAGCAGCAGGACTGGGCCACAGACCTCCACAGCTCCCTTGCAACCGAAGTTATTCTGTGAGTCTATGCTGTAATTTAAAGGTGATGAGGAATGGAAGTGCGTCATCCAACTTTGTTTCAGCTACGAGCACGAATGCTTCCTGGACACTTCTGTTCTCTGTGACTTTCAGTTCTGTGACTAAAACTTGGGCGTTGACCCCAGTGCTCTCAGATCTATTTGCAAAGAGAGAAATCCTCGCAGGATATGGCTGTACAAGGCCTTCTTGTGTGCAAAGAGAGAGGATTAGTGTTCTGGCTTGGTTTTATTCTGTAATTTAAACCAGCAGTTTATGTCTGTAGACAGATCAATTTCTGTACTTTTTATGAAAACATTTTGTCTACTAAGTGTGTTAATTAGGATGAGATTTATTCCCTGAAGTTTTATAAGCTGTGTGCATGGTTTATACTGTACAATGGAAACAGCACCTTTTTTTCCTCCAAAAATGTAGGTCCATTTTCTGGTTGAATGTTGCTGATGTTCAAATTTCTCTGAATAGTTTTGTATCACTAGCAAATTTTTTAACGCTTTGTTTTTTCTTTCTTATAGTTGACTTTATGTAGCTATTTCATTTGTCTCTTCTCGTAAGTCCACCTGTACCTCTTGACTTGTCTGCTTTGTCCTTTTTAAGGAAGACTTGGGCAGCTTTCATTCTGCTTTTTTGAATGCTTCTGTTGGCTCTTGAAAAATTATCATGGGACAGTTCTCAGATTGCGCATCTAATCTTTGAAAAACAGTATTTTTCTTGTGGATTAGAGTTGGATTAGATGGCAACTCGTTGACACCCTGTAAGTGTTGCAGAAGTGTTGGTAGGAAGGGGTGTCTGGAGGCCCGTAGTCACCCCCTGTCTGGTGCAGGACTGTCCCCAGTAACTGGGTCGGGGCAGCCCTGGCTTTGTCTAGCCAAGTCTTGCAAAACTCTTACGGATGGAAAATACTGCCCAACAGGCAAACATGCATGCACACACTCCTCTGGTAGTCTGCTCCAGGGCCACATAATCTTGCACGGAAAAAACTTCCTAACAATCCGTCTAAACCTCTCAATCTGCCATTTCTGGTATTTGCCGTTTGTTACGTGATCTGACATTACTGAGAAGAGTTTGGTGCTCTCATTTTTTACCTATCTTTCAGGTAGTTTATCTTCTATTTTGATGCTTTGTTACCACGTTTGGATAATGACAGTTTTTTGTGCCTTAGGAATATGACCCTTGTTTCTAGTGCTGTGCTCGCTTGGGGGATTTTTTTTTAATATAGATGAGGGCCATCCTTTTGCCAAATTCTTTCTGAAGCTTATTTGGAGTTGTGAGCATTGTGCAAATGAACAGTTATGCTGTGTGCCGTGACTTTTCTTGGGGATTGCTAGCTGGAGTGGAGAAGTGCTCTCCCAGCAAGCCTATAACAATAAAGAAATAATCTTTAGAGGTTTTTTTTCTCCATCTTTCTAGAAGAGCTAAGAGGTTTTTACACTACTCAAAAACTAGCCCTTAAACAGAACTCACTGAAATGTGTTGTTTTTCATGGAGACTTTATGTCCAGACATAAAATTTCTATATAGCTAAACTTTGTTTTGATTAATGTTGAACCATTTATTTTCTCTGTTGGCTGTAAAACTTATGGTTAGTGTCTTCAGTCTTTGTTGAGGTGTGGGGGTAGCACACTCTGTTGAAAGAACAGGTAGTGTAAGTACTTAAAGACAGCATTAAAACTAGATTTTGGGGACTGTTGTCCTTGGTTGTTTTCTGAAGTTAATGGGGAGTTGGTGGTTGGTGGTAACTTGAGAATAGTTTTACCAGTTATGTCACTGTGAACTTCCAGTTTTATTTCCTCTCCGATTTCTTTTTTTTTTGTTTGTCTTCAATACAATGAAACCCAAATTTATAAACTCATTTTTCTTCAGTGATTCCATATGCTGTTTAAACCGCTTGATTTTAAAACACTAGCTATCACAGCATCCTCTCAGTTACTTGAATAAATCAAAAGGGGAAATGTTAACAGAAGGAGACACCAGCAGCAAAATCTGAATCTTCTCTCTGTCTTTGAAGATTATCACATATATGCTGTTTGTAACTTCACTCCTTTCTTTTATATTGATTTCTGGCTTTTTCTTTCCTCTTTTGGGCCTTTCTGTGTGGACTGAAAAGGAAAAGGTACAGTAACGCTGCACTGTGCATGTATCCTGCATGAACAACTCCTGTCTTGCCCAGTTTGCATGTTGTCTGTGCCAGATAAGCGGCCAGTAAGGGAGCGCAGTAACCAGTCAGTGGGTAATACTGCTGGCCAGCCTGGGAATTGGTTATTGAGTTCATGTGCATTGCACACTTCCATATTCTCCAGGCAAGAACAGCAGAGAAACAGGTAAAAGTGCTATTTATAACGTTTTAGGGCAGCAGGCCCATAGCTGTTTGTGAAGGCATCATTTCGAGGCAGGACAACGGCTTTTCCATGAGATCACCATCCATCTATTTCTGCCTGAGAGTGTTGAGCGGGAGCACTGTGGAGTAGGAACCGAATTCAAAGAACCACAAGCCAGAAACTCTGTGAAACCCATGCAAGCAGACAGCAACTTCTGGAAGCCCTGCTCAGGCAGGGGTTATGAGGAGGGAGCAGTGGGTTCCTGGTGTGGTAGCCGCAGGTGGTCTGACTTAACCCCTGCTCTGAGTAATCATTTTCTTAGCTTAAGCTGGGGGCAGGGAGTGGGGAGGAGGGTTCAGCGTGCCCTGGCTTAGATGACAGCTGTTTTGTGTTATTGGGGGAGATGGAGTCTGCAGTCTCTTGTCCTCGGGATCCCCAGTTCCAAGAGGGGTATACCTCCTGGGAGAGCATTTACTGGTACTGTGCCTAATACAGGGGGGAGGAAAGGACCTGTTTGTAAAATTTGTAATGTTTGAGTAATTCTGCAGGAAATAAAGCAGGCCTTTCAAACTCAGGGACATCATGGCTTAAGGAAAAGATCTTGATGAAAACCTGGTGATCTGAGAAGTAATAACTTCTGGAGTGCTATGCTTATTCCTTTGTTCTGGAAAGTGACTTATTTCATATTCATAAACTTGTTTTTATTCTTTACTTGTAGAGCTGTATCAAGGTGCCATCTCATTTTGACTTCAGACTTTGAGAGCAACACAAATAGTTGCTGCCAGAAATTTTTCAGATGAAGAATTGCTTTCTGTAAATTGCAAAATTAAAAACATTTTTTTGACAATTGATAGCCACCTTTTTTTCAAGCATTTGGAAAAAGCTTTTTTTGCTTAATCTTAAATGTGCCTTAATTCAAAGCTGAGAATATTAGTCTGGAAAATCATCAGATCAGCTTTTTATAACTTTTTGCTTTTATCCATTTTTATTTCTCTACCAGTTGATTAATAGGAGCTCATTGATTCAGGCATCTTGCTTTGCTTTGGAAGCAATTTTGTCATCTTATTTGTAGTTAGTTTTTTAAAAAAAATCTTACCTAATGGCTCCTCCTTGTGTGTCATCTTTTGACTGGCTGGAAACAAGAACAAGTACTGGCATGGGTTTCTCTGGGGTTAGCTTTCCAAGTGATCATTTCTCAACTCTGAGAAGGCATCTCTGGCAACAACGGGCACTTGCTTTTTAGGAAGGAATAACTTGAGTCATACAAAGCATTTAATTTTGGAGTGGAGTGGGGGTCTTGTTTATTTTGAATTGACATTGTGGGTGAGGGAAGAAGAAAATGGATTTGAAAGTTCGTGTGGGTATACGTATAAAGATGTAAAGCCGGACTGAAAGTAGCAGTGATTCTGAAGCTGCCACCCTTTTCAGAGAAAGCTGGGAAAGATTCTCCTTTTTCATGCCTTACAGGAAACAGGTTATTGGTTGACTTACTGGCAGGTTTAAGCCGAAGTGGAAGGAACAGAATGCAATTCGCCTTTAATAGCAGGAGCTGCAGTATTCACCTTATTTTTAAACATATTTCTATGGTTAGCACATGTTTTTTTTGTAAATGAACTATATTTCCAGACCTCTGGAACAGGAATTATTTCTTTGGGACTTGAAGGACACCATTTGGAGAATACCTCTCTGGGGAACTTGTTTTCCAGCTGTAGCTCTATGTTCTCTGAGCTTCCATGGAAATCTTCCATGATTTTTCTTCTTTTTCTTTGACCTGTTCTGATCTATGCCATGTACACCCTTGTCACAGTGCTGTCAAGGTGTTTTCTAGTAGCATGGCAAAGGATGATTTTTATTTCCATCACATGGCTTCTGCTTTCATCTTACCCTAATGAGGAGAGTAGCGTGCAGAGCAACGGCCTTAGTTTTAAAGCATTTCCACTGCCTTGTGCTTGGTAATAGAGGTGGTGGCTGAAACACCCTGCCTGGCCTCTGGAGCAGAAGGTGCTGTGGTTTGGTGGCTCCGTGGCAGCACGCTGACCTTCAGGAAGCTCTGCGTTGTGCTTGATGGCAGATGCAATGAATTCCATGTTGCTTTTCTAATTTCTCGCTATAGTGATACTGAAGGAGTTTTGGCTCCATGTTCCTCTTATGTATTGAATGATGGCAGCTGATCACAGTGTGGACACCTGAATTCTGTACATCCTTTGTTTAGTTAAACATGAGTGTCAAGGCTTATAAAATTTCGATGTCTATTTGAACAGTAACTTGTGTGACTGTCAGAGCTTTCAGAGCTGCTCCTGTACATGTAGGTTCAGCCGGTTTGAACCCTTACATTCTCTTTGGCTTTCAGAGGATTTTATCTTGAACAATGTCATATTCATTTGGAAAGCTAATGAAAAGTAGTGTTTTACACAGTTTCTGATTATTTAACTGTGAAAAATAATCTTAATTTACCTGTAGGTTAAAAACTGAACATCTCCTACAGTAGAAGCAGTATCTTTATGAAATGTTTTTAAGTGTAAACAAGCAACTATCAGATCTCATTTGAAAATGCAACTCCCTTGTTCTGTGTTTGGCATAAGCCAGGCTGCAGAGGAGGAAAGGGGAGATGCTTCCTTCTTCATGCAGCATCAGGTGTTGTGCTGGCAGGCACAGCAGAGCAGAAGTACATGAAGAACAGATAGCCTTTTCCAGAACTGCCTGGGCTGCTTGTCACCTGTTGAGGCGATGATGATTTTTATTGATACGGTCAACCGAAGACACCTTTCTCTTTTCCCCCCACAGATTTCAAGAGCAGAGCTCTTCAACATTCACAAGAATACTGATGTCTCTGAGCACCCATAACATATGCTGTCCTCTTGACCACTACTGTCATCATGTTTTAGATCAAAACTGACAGTTTTCTGTAATACCTGAGGCTTCCTTGTGCATTTGCAAGACAGAGCATGGCTTTTCTGTCTCTCCCAGGCCCGGTCTCATCTGGTGTGCAGAACAAGTGGTGTTGTAACACCCTCTCTATCCCTACATCTGTGCTACCCCTACCCAGATTTTGCAGGAAGAGGAATTTTTTACTTTCTTTTGGGCCACTACAGCAGACGAGTTTATCGAGGTAGATGCAGTAAAACAAGGAATAGAGTGGAAAAAGTATTTGAATTTGGCCCTAGCCTCTTTCTCCTCACCCTAAGCAGTGCTTTCGAGTAATCCGTGAGTTCAGGTACTCTTCTTGCTAGTGTTTATTTCGGTCCTTCCACTAATGCCTCTTCATACTGGTATAATTTGAAAGGTGACTCCCACTGTGTGTGCGCTCAGCCATCGATGTGTCTGTGCAGATTGATGAGTACATCACTTTGTATTGGGGAAGAAATGAGAGATACATTCATGCTCTGTTTCACATCTAGCACATTGCTAGTGGTGCTGCAGCTTGGAGAAATGCGTCCCGTGCCTTGGGCAGTTCTTCCAGGGCGTTTTCTGGTGCTCAGCTGCTGTCTGTTCCCCTGGATCCTGTCCTTTCCCTTCCTTGCTCAAAGTGAAATCCTGCACACAGTGTTATTGTGGTGCTTCTGATGTATTTCAGATCTCTAGTCTTCATTCCAACAGTCCTCACAAAGCATCTTTTCTTCTTCCCCCACTCAAAAGCAGGACAAAAACGGAGAAAGGTGGAAAAAGCCGATCCAGAACATCTGTTTTCTTAGCTTTTAAGAGCAATGCGCCAAAGACAGGCAGAAGGTTATCATTCATAGCGCCTGAAGTCCAACATCTTATAAAGCAGTTTTTAGTCTCTCGTGGTGGAAGCACACAAGAACTTAGCACAGAGGTGCCTGTTTGTTGTCTGCAGGGAGCAGGCAGGGCATGGCCATGCAGCAGCCCGGTCCCCTAGGAGGCTGTGCAGGCGTTGGCACCTCCTTTGCAGTAGCCTGTGTCTCAGGAAAGGAAGTTCTGTCACGGTGTGGTGATCATTACTGTTTCCTTATAAAGTAAGAGCTAATGTGCACTAGAACTCATCAAGCATTTTAACTGTGCAGCTTGGGGACACAAGTTCGTTTTCCCTCCAGCTTCTGGCCTTTATCAACAAAACCAAGGAATAAAAGTTATGTAAAATTACGCTTACCGAAAGCCTGAGTTGGGGATTTGTAGTTGATGTTCAGATCGGCATACAGAAGTATAAGGCTCGGAAGATAGAATTGATTTTCTGTCATCTTCCTTGCTACAACTTAAGCACTGTTGCAGAATAGTAAAAGGAAAGCTAGATATTGCTTTGATTTTTCTAGTAGTTTCTTCTTCAGTTTGTAATACCTCTGCATTTCCATATTCCCTGTGCCTGTTTTGTACTTCTTAAAATAATTTTTGTATTTCCCTGCAAGACAGTGTACTCTCTACTAACATGTGCTCTCACCTTGTAAACTCTATTTTAAGAACTTAACTGTAAGCCTGTCAATCGTTATTGTACCTCAAGTGAATTGTATATGTAAATAATTGCATGATGTTAATTTTAATCATTGCTCTTTCTTTCTCTTTAATTTCTTACTAATTGTTTTGCTGTAGATCAAAACCAGGCTCTTCGGCTGTGTCTGGGCAGCACTGCTGTTGGGGCCCAGTATGGGGCTATCTCTGCTCTCAGTATCAACAACGACTGTTCGAGGCTCCTGTGTGGCTTTGCGAAAGGACAGGTAATTCCCATAGGATGAGGTGGTCCAGTGCTCTGTCCTTCTGCAGACCGTTACTGAGAGACTATCCAGAGGTGACAGTAGCTCCAAGCCAGCACACTCAATATGTAGCTGTTTGTTAGTTGGTTTTGTGCTGAGAAGCAGTATGCATGGCTTGATCTGCCCAGAGGTTTTTTGGCCAGCCAATTTCTGCATCCAATGAGCTAACTCAGACAGATTGTTTGGGGTAAGTTTCTGTGGAGGAAATGGGTAATGCAGAATATAGTGAAGGATTCGATTAATTGTGGCTCATTGTGACATAAGTCCCGCTCCTGATAAACTGAAATGTGCGATGGCGCACCAGGACAACCAGCTTAGCCTTTCTAGGTCACTTTGTGTGGTCTGTGCTTTGTAATTAAAGCTAGTTTTTACTGTGGTGATGACTTGAAATTCTTGAAACTCATATCTAGCCCCAAAGTTCATTTTTACCAATACCTTACTTCTGTTGTGTGTCAGAAGCAGCATAGCTTTTGAATGCAGGGGAAAAAGGGTTTGAGTCTGCTGTTGTAGTTTTATGCCTGTCTCTGAACATAAAGAGAGAAAGCGATTCCTGAACAAAAGTTATAAGACTCAAACGAAACCAAGATGGACAGAAGGTAACTTGGTAAAATTTAGAGGTCCATGGAATGCAAAGGCGGCTGCTTTGGTTTTCTTTTTAGTTTCATTTCCCTTTGCGCCTTTGACTTTCACCTTCATTCTAGATAAAACACATTCCAGTGCCTATGACAGGGTAAATGACAGACTGCTCCAGACCATGTGGAAATACAGATTTGATCCATGCAGAGTAGGGGCCAGTTTTAAATGATACTCAGATAAAATATATCGGAGCAGCAGTTCTGAAACATCTGGTCTACAAAGCTTTGATAGATGATTTATGGAACCATATAAAATAGTATTTCCAATAAAAAGTTTGATTCAAATTGTAATCTCAGCTCTTCTGGGCTAAATATTCCTCAGTCATGCAGTAAGTAGTTTGGGACTTCCTGCTTCTTAGTTGAGAAATTGCCTGAATTCAATATCCAAGTGCAAGCCAAGCTGTATACTCCTACCTGACCTGTCATGCTGAGCCAACGCAGGAGAGGAGTGACAAGGTTCATAGTGGAGATGCTTGAGTTTTGCTAGTGGGTGTTAGCAGAGATTATTCAACTGTTCACTGATTCTGTGAGAGAGAAATGCGTTGAAGCACTTGAACAGTGTTGTGTGGTAGCAAAGTTACCTTACATTCTTTAATTGTGTTATCAGGCAGATAGCTGTGAGGTGAGTTCGGGCAGGTGGTGAGAGCTTGCCCTAAGGACATGATTCAGAGTTGTGAAGATAACTGTAATGTTGTCAAGGAGACTATAAGCAGATAAGTAAACTGCTTGTAAAAACAGGGTAGGAACAGATTTCAGATTACTCTTCTATGAAGTGAAGACCTCACTACCCCAGGATGATACTGGAAATATAGAAATTTATTGATGTACTAACGCACAAGGTGATGGAGAGAACTCCTTGGCAGTAAACGTGTACTGAGAACAATCTGCTTGCAGATCACAATGTGGGATCTGGCCAGTGGGAAGCTGCTACGATCAATAACAGATGCCCACCCACCAGGAACAGCCATTTTGCACATCAAGGTAACAAATACTACATGTACTCCTTGTATACTACTTTTTTTTTTTTCCTTTAAAACACGCTTGTGTTCAGTCAGATGTGTTGACTTTCCTTGTGTGTAGTACTTTTAGATTTACAGATGAGAGCAGCTACCTAGGACTATGGCGATAGTATCCAGAGGTGAGGAAAAAATGAGTGGACATTCTATTTAAAAAAGAAACTGAGTATTTTGAGGGCTGAAATAATAGTATTGGCTGGGAGTTGTACTATAACAAATAACAGTTGTCTGTTATAACTCCTCTCTCTGATGCCAAAATCTATGAAGAATGAGTTGCTAGAATACATTTCTCTAAAACTTGCAGTAGTTTGAACTGGATACATGACTTGCCAACTTTAAACTTAAAGAGTCTGAAGTGTAGAAAGTAGCTTCTGTAAGCAGTTTTTCAAATAACTTGTTGGGAATGTTTGGGTTGAAAGAGAAAACATCTATGGCTTCTTGTTCAACATAGTGTTGTCGTCATACACAGAAACTCATATCTGATTTTGTGCATGGCTTTGTTTTATATGGACATCTCCTACCAGAGCATAATGGTCCTTGGCAGCATGGTCAGAGCAGTGACTTTGGTGCATCACCCAAACTCTCCTCTCTCTTCTCCTTTCCTGGACCTTGCTGAGACATCCCAGACCCATACCGTGTCACACTGGAACTAGTATAGTGGGTCTGGTGGGGCACGTTGCTCAAGGACAGGTTCTTATGTATTGATTGGTCTGACCTGGCTAACCAAAAATGTTTTGTGGGCGTGAAGGTGCCCTCTTACTGCTGCATCTTCCATGCTTCCATCTCTGGCATCTTTGCCCTGTGCATAAAGATGAATATTACCCTGCGCCAGGTCCTCTGCTCCTAGTGGCCCCCTTCTCTAGCTCATGACCTGATGGCAGTACCAGCATTCAAGAGTGTTTGGACACTGCTATACAGCCCAGATGCTTGTGCTGCTAGATGCTGGGTTGCAAAGTCCTCCAGAAGGGTGCTTCAGCTGTGGCTGTGACCCGTTCTTATCTTGATTATTTGGTATCGTTAGTAGTCTGGATGCTTCTGATTTTGGTCTGTTTGTGACTGCAGCCCATTCACCAGCTCTGGCACCAACTCATGGGCTTGAGGCTGTGAGCTGTTCTAGTGTAACACAGGTTTTGGTATGCTGTAGTTCTGAGCTGCAATAGAAAGTAATGGGACTTTGGTAGCAAAATCTAGCAAAATCTAGGGCTTGCCAGAGGGGTGAAGATGAAACACAAAACCTTGCTTTTCTACACATCATAAAAAAGCCAGTAATTGTCTCAAGTCTGTATGTTAAAGCTGTCTGTCTGGTAGGTACAATGCTTGTACTTTTGTGTGCTGTTAATAATGCCATAGCATACATTTTTTCTATCCATTTTTTTTGTATTTTATTTCTTAGTGCCACGTTTAATCTAATTATCTGCTCAGTTTACAGATGACCCGACACTTGCAATTTGCAATGACAGCGGAGGCTCCGTATTTGAACTGTCATTTAAGTAAGACAATAACTCTAAATACTCATAGAAAGTATAAGAAACTAATGCTGGGTTATAGTTTCTCAAACCTAAGCAAAAAAACCCACTGGAACCAATAAAGCTACTGTCTGAATGTTGAAGGTGTAATTTAGGGCTGCAGTATAATTTCACAGCTGAAGCAAGGTGCTATCTGGCAGTGTAATAGTCAAAGAATAGCCTAAGTTATTAAGGTATCAATGTATTGTCCAGAATCTTGGCATTCCTCGTGGGCTCTTGGTAGTCGCCATAAAAGCGCTGCCTCTTGGTTTTCCTTGTTTCATTAGTGAGAGCTGCCCTGCAGTAACTGCTCGTTTTCTTCTTGGCCTCCTCAAGAGGAGGAGGGACAAGGAGGAAGGATTGACAGTCTAGGGAGTCTGATCATGTCCAGGAATTTCCAAAACTTTACTGTTAAATAAGATCTTAAGAATTCTTGTCTGTATCTGGGCAGCTGTATGGGACTGCTTCCAGTGACACACTAAGTGATCCCTGGAGCTGCGTAAAAGGCTTTTTAAAAACAATATTCATGAAGGATCACTCTTGAGATTTCATGAGAATGTTGGGCTGATCCTTTCTTGATAGCTGGCCACCAAGCTGATTTCTCTTCTTCGCAGGAGGGTTATGGGAGTGAGAACGTGTGAATCTCGATGTCTCTTCAGTGGCTCAAAGGGGGAGGTTTGCTGTATTGAACCATTACACGCCAAGGTTGAGCTGAGAGACCATCCTATCACCCAGTATTCGCTGCTGGCCATGGCCTCCCTAACAAAGGTAACTTGCGGCTTGCAGAAGGCTTTGTGTGAGAAATCACAAAGGAGAAGTGTTCTGGTATATACTCAAACATTTTACTTCGCCTCTTTGTTTTTCTTGAAGATACTGGTTATTGGCCTGAAGCCATCTCTGAAAGTGTGGATGACCTTTCCCTATGGTCGTGTGAGTAATGAAGCCAAACAGTTGCTTTTTGGATTATGGCTGCGAATGGTTCCTAGAGTGCAGGGGATGAGATTAGGACCAGGTGTTTGGTATCACTACTTGCCACAAGGCAGAGTTTACTATGTGCTGGTAATTGCAGTGATAATCTGCAATTTGGTCTGCAATTGGTCTGATGTGTGCAGATTGTGGGCAGAGAGGAGGTGAAAAGGCTGCTTTCAGCTGTAGCTATGTGAAGATGCTGAATTTCTCCAATAAGTAGGAAGGGAGGAATGTAGGAGCCCCTCAGCTTCTTGTCTTCCCTGCTGCAGCCTGGATGCACCCACAGATGGCATGTTGACCTGATTATGGCTACAATCACCTCGGACTGGGGCCATTGCTTTACATAAGAATCATGCAATAGAACCCTTAGTTGCAGGGACAGAAACAAAGTGCAATTAGAGCACTAAACAGTCTTCTAAACTCTTGATTATTTGCTTTCCCTAGTCACTGGTATAATTCCTCTTGGAAAAGCAGCTGGGGGAAGGTTGGGAGAATGGAGACAAGGCTGCTAGCAAGCTGCAGCTTGTCGTAGTCCATCAATCCTTGTGAGATTGAGTCTACATTAAGCAGCTAGGACACAGGTTTTGTTCTGACTGGCCGTCCGCTTTGCCAAGAGACACACGTTGCCCCTAAACAGTGTGGCTGGATCAAAGAGCATAAGCTACTGCTCAGCTGCCAGCAGACCAGGAAATTGCTTTACAGCCTGTGTGTGTACATGGCAAAGTCAGTGAGTAACACCTGATGAACAGCATGTGTCCTGGAACTGAGGTTCTACCTTGCGTACCTTAAATACTGGCTGTGCTTTTTGTCTAACAGATGGACCCTTCTAGTGTCCCTCTTCTGGCATGGCACTTTGTGGCTGTACAGAACTCTGTGAACCCCATGCTTGCATTTTGTCGAGGAGACGTCGTTCACTTTCTTCTGGTAAGCCTTGGATGTTTTATTCTGCTTTTCAGATAGTCACGTCTTATTCACATATTCAGTTGACTGAGCCTCTGTCTCAGTGAAAATATGATATCTGTGGATGCTAGGGATGCCGCTTGCAACCAGCTTCGGAAAACAAACCTGTTGGTCATTGCTCTTCAGCAAGCAGTGGTGCCCTTCCCTGAGAATCTAGAGGCATGAGCTTTATGCGTTCCAGAAGTGTTGATTTGCAGCTTATCTCATTTTTACTGGAGATAGAAGAATGTGGATTGTTTTCAGGGAGATCACATGGGTTTGAGATACCATTTTATTTTTTGTTTTAAAACATGAGTCTGGAGAAAACTTGTATAAACCACTAAGAGACAACAGCTTTCAGGTCCTGTTGGCATGTGACTTCAGGGCATGCCGCTCATCCTGTTTAGATCTGCAAAAGTTACACATGCAGATACGGTTGTTTGAAGATGATTTCATGTCTGATTTCAGTATGAGAGCAGTATCTAGGCTTCAGAAAATCTGGCATTTTGGCTTTGGAGTGCTAAGCTTGTTTCCCAGCTCTGCTATCATAGAATCAAAGAATGGTTTGGGTTGGAAGGGACCTTAAAGATCATCCAGTTCCAGCCCCCCTGCCATGGGCAGGGACACCTTCCACTAGACCAGGTTGCTCAAACCCCCCTCCAGCCTTGCCTTGAC